TGGTAACAAGAGTTATTAACATTATTCCATAAGCAATATAAGCATTGAAAAAAGAATGAAATCTTTTTATTTGACCGAGTGTATCAATTAAACTGTTATCTTCTAATTGTACTATTTTTCTTAATAGTTTTAATTCCGCAAATAAATCTAAACCATCAATATCGAATTGATTATTATGCTTTAAGGAACATTCAAGATTAAGACAATACTTTTTCAAATTTTCATCATCTAGTGATCTTAATTTTTACCGCTAAATGGAAAACCAAAAAAATTTCATGTGCTTCGAATTGTTCAAATCTATTTTGAAGTGAAAAAATACCTTTGTCTACTATGTATAAAGTAATCAACTCCAAAGGATTCTTCGAAAGATTTTGAGATTTTACTATCAATATTCTCATCAAATTATTACTTACTATATATCACACGTTTCTTACGAAATTCGGGTTCGATATTAATTTCAAGTACAATTTTCTTGGCAGAAATCATAGCAGTTGCAAATCCTTCTTCTCTATACTTGTTAAAGAAATAAATTAAATTGTTTCACTTTACAGAACCTTTTTTAAAACTTATACATAGCCTATTAAGTATAACATAAAATGGGGCCCCACAAATGTGGGGCCTAAAGCAGTTGCTTTACTTGCTTTATGGAAGGGCCGCCCCGGCTCATAAGGACAATAAGAGGAGGAACACAACACATTATTCCTGTAAAAGGAGGAGGGTCATCGGTGTCAACTTTCACAAAAATGTGTCCTAACTAGGAATATTTGCAACTTCTGACTTACTAAATATTTTTTCTTTTTAAATAGTTAATTACTATTAGATACTTGACCGTACCATAACATCTTTTTATTTATTCGAAAAGGGGAATTGTAGTGTTATGTACGAGGCATGGTAGGAAGGGGATTGGAAATGTAGCCGGAACCTCGAAAAAGAAAAAGAAAAACACCATGAGCAGACTACTTCCCTAGCTAGTTGCAAAATATTACTCACATTTCAGGAAATAAAACAAATTGGCTTTGTTTGTGAGGGAATTTTAGTTTAAATATAATAAATTAACATGATGAATGTAGGGGTGGAGCTTGAGGGGCGGAAGTGGGTTCATTTGAACTTCTTTGTTGGAATATATCAGATTAACTTTTTTTATGTAGATATATTAGATATGAATCCGTTTGAAGAAAATTCTGCAACTAAAAGTACTAAAAAATAACGACAAATAAATACCGCATTAAACTGTACTTATTATAATCATTAATAAATTGAGAAATACGTATTGTTGTTGAGATGAAGGACTACTTAGCGTTTGGGCCCAAACACAAAACATAACTTGGGCTTCCTTTATTTAATGTACAGATTAGTTGCTAAGGGATCCGGGTTAGGCCCATTGTATATATATAGATAGTGTAATAGAATTTCTAGACTATTCGATTTAATTCATTTTACAGAGAAGAAATGAAAGTCGGTTCTCTCACTTCTCTCTCTATCTTCTTCTTCTCAAACCCTAATCTCATATCTATGATTTCGATATTGCTGTATGTTTTCATGGTATCAGAGCTACGGATGTGAAAGATCTTTTCATTCTCGTTCGTCCGGTGCTACTCTTCACCATATTTGGTTGAGTTTCGTGGTCTCATCAGTGAGATGATTTTCTCATCAAAAATTCATTTTTTTTTGAATTTTTTGTAATCCTTCTCTGGAATCTGTCTGTAATCAAGTGGAGGATGTTCAATCGTTGCTGAAGTCTCCTTGATTCCAAGCTTTGGTGGTGAATTTTCAGAATTCTCAAACTAGGGTTTGCTGCGGTTCATACCTTGTTTGGTTTCGTTCAAAATTGATTGTCTTTGATATGTGAAGGCTGTAACTTCTTCTAGTGCTGAAGAAGGGGGTAATATCGATCTATTTCTCATAAGTAATCCTTTTCTAGACTGCAAGTCATTTCTCATATTAGGCTGTTGTTCTTTCTCTGAGGGACTTGTTGTTGTATGTTGAGTATTGAATATGACGGGAATCGATAGTTCTACTCCTTCCAGTTCTACATACTCCCCTGACCCTTCTAGTCCTTTCCATCTTCACTCCTCTGATGTTCCTGGGTCGTGCTTGGTGTCGGTTCCTTTCTCTGGTACTCGTTATGGAGGTTGGAAAAGGAGTATGGTGATTTTCTTGTCTGCAAAAATAAGATTGCATTCATTGATGGAACTTGTCCTAAACCACCTGATAATTCTCCACAACTTCAACAATGGAACAAATGTAATAATATGGTACTATCATGGATAACCAGTTCCTTAACCCCAACTATTGCTGAATCTATACAATATTCTGGAAGTGCTGAAAGTATATGGAGACAATTAGAGAGTAGATATGGTGCTGTCAATGGAACCAAAGTCTTTGAACTTAAGAAGGAACTTTCATTTACTTCTCAGGGTTCCTTAGATATAGCCTCATACTTTAACAAACTTAAGAAACTATGGGATGAGTTAGAGATGATGCGTAAGAAACATACAAATTCGTGTATCTGTCCTGCCAAGTCTGGTACTCAAAAGGAAGAGGAAGAAGATAAAGTACATCAATTCCTTATGGGATTAAATAAAGTATATGTAAGTGTAAGAAGTAATCTCTTAATGATGAATCTATTACCATCTCTTGATACTGTATGCAACATTCTTCTCCAAGATGAGAGGCAGAGACAAGTCAATCCCACATCTCAGTTTAATTCAGAGTCATCATCCTTCAATGTGAATTTCTCTAACAAATCTCAAACTCAGCCAATTTCTACTCAAAGGTCATACAATCAGAGAGTTAATTTTGATCAGACAAAAGGTAATCTCTTTTGCAAATATTGCAAGAAACCTGGCCATCTAATTGAGAAATGTTACAACTCCATGGTTTTCCACCAAACTTCAAATTCACTAAAGGCAAAAGGATGGTGGCCAATGCCTGTGTGGATGAGACTACTGTTCCTATGGGTGGAATTCAGCCTGAACAAGGTTCTTTGGTGCCTGGTCTCACAAAGGAGCAGTACTCACAACTGATAACCTTGCTGCAACAAACCCATGTGTCTGTTTCTGGTCAATCTGGTCCTCAATCCAACCTTGCAGCTTCTGCCAATTTTGTTGGTACCTTGTTGCATACTAATGTAGTTAGTTCTTCTGTTTCTTGTATGTTTTCACATTCTTGTGGTTCTGTGTGGATTGTGGACTCTGGTGCCACAGATCACATGACTGCTAGTAAAGACTTCTCTTTGATATCACTCCACTCACTATACCTTTACTTGTTTCACTTCCTTATGGATATAAAGAAAAAGTGAGTTGCATTGGTTCCTTTGCTCTAACATCCTCTATCACTCTTCACAATGTACTCTTCATCCCCTCTTTCCATCATAATCTGATTTCTGTGTCAAAAGCTTAAGAGTAGTTGCATTGCATTGTCCAGTTTCGTCCTTACTCTTGTGTGTTACAGGGCCCTTCTCTGAAGATGCCTCTAGAACTTGGTAAATTGGACAATGCACTTTATAAGCTGGTGCCGCAGGATGCGCTTCATCGTACTCCTCCTTAAGTACAACTTACAAATAGCACAATCTGCAGCTTACCATCTTTGTGTGATAGTGTTTCTGATCATTCACCTGTAAATGTTTCATCTGTTTCACATGCTACACATGTACATAATTCATTTTGCAATAAAGCTGCTACGAATAAATCAGATGTGCTTTGGCATAATAGACTTGCACGTGTATTTGTCTATGTCCTTAATGTCGTATCTCATGTGGTGAGGAGTAATGCTTTTCCTTTACTAAAGGCATTCATTGCAATGATTCAAACCCAGTTTAATGTCACTGTTCAAAAGGTCAGAAGTGATAATGCCCTTGAATTAGGAGGCGGTAACTCTGCTATTTCATTCTTTTCTGATCATGGAATAATTCACGAAACTAGCTGCCCTCATACTCCTCAGCAAAATGAGGTGGTAGAGAGAAAGCATAGAACCTTGCTTGAGGCCTCTAGGGCACTGATGTTTCAATCTAATGTTCCTATTAGGTTCTGGGGCGGCTGTTTACTCATAGCCACATACATTATTAACAGATTACCTTCCAAAATTCTAAATAACAAATCACCTTTTGAACTTTTGTATGGTTTTTCTCCAAATTATTCTCACCTTAGGACCTTTGGGTGTTTATGCTATGCTACTGTTTCCATACCTCAAAGAGATAAGTTTAAGCATAGAGCCACACCATGTGTGTTTCTTGGATACCCTTTTTCCAAGAAAGGATATTTACTCTATAACATACAGACTAAGCAATGTTTCATTTCTAGAGATGTGGCATTCCATGAGAATACTTTCCCTTTCTCAACATCTCTGCCACCTTCTTCACCTGCTCAACCTCTGGTGTACTGTGATGACACTCATTTCATTCACCTGTCTTCACCAATGTTCCTCCTTCACCTACTGGTTCTTCTTCCCCTGATGCTTCCTCTCCGTCTACTCTGCTGACTCCTCTCCCCTTGATTCTGCTCCATCTGACTTCTGTCTCCTCCTCCATCTTCTTTGCCTCCTATTCTTGACCACCAACAGCCTGTCCTTGATTTTGCTCCTTCTGCCTTGCCTTCTTCTTCCCAGTTTTACCTAATAATCTAGTGGTTAGAAAATCTATTAGGCATCATTCTCTTCCTTCTCATTTGAAAAATTATGTATCTCAACTTCCCCTTTCCTTTTCTGGTGCAACTGCATTCCTTCCACATGCAGAAGTAGAACCATCTTCTTACTCTCAGGATGCACACATCCCTGCTTGGGAAAGAAGCTATGAGGAAGGAGTTTGAGGCCTTAGAGGCCAATCACACTTGGGACATTATTGAGCTACCTAAAGGGAAGAAACCAATTGGGTGCAAGTGGGTCTATAAAGTAAAAATAGGGCTGATGGGAGTGTTGAGAGATACAAGGCAAGACTAGTTGTTAGGGGAGATACTCAGGTGGAAGGGATAGATTTCAATGAGACTTTCTCTCCTATGGTTAAAATGTCTACTGTCAATTGTTTAATAGTTGTTGTTGTCAAGAAACAATGGTCTTTATTCCAATTGGATGTCAACAATGCCTTTCTTCATGGTGACCTTGATGCAGAGGTCTACATGAAAATTCCTCTTGGCCTTTCAGTTTCTAGTGTGTTTGGTTCCACTTTTGCCCCTTTAGCTTGTAAAGTACAGAAATCTCTCTATGGATTGCGCCAAGTTTCTAAGCAATGGTATGCCAAGTTGTCCCAAGCTCTATGCACAAGAGGGCATACTCACTCCATTAATAATTACTCCTTATTTGTTAAAGGTATGACTGTCAATTTGGTAATATTGGCTATTTATGCGGATGACATAATCCTCACTGGGGATGACATACATGAAATTGCTGCTCTTAAACTGTTTTTGGATGCTGAATTTAAGATTAAGGACCTAGGACCTTTGCACTATTTTCTGGGAATTGAAATTAGCTACTTTCCTGGTAGTGTACTCTTAAATATCAGAGGAAGTTTATCCTTGACTTACTCAAAGATTATGATTGCTCAGATGTTAGTTCTGTAGTTTGTCCATTGGATTTGAATCTCAAATTGCAAGCAGGTTCTGGAGATTTACTTCCTAATGCAGCAGATTTCAGAAGTTTAATTGGTAAATTGCTATTTCTTACTCACACAAGACCAGATTTGTGTTTTTCAGTGCAACACCTTAGTCAATTTAATCAATCTCCTCGTGTGGCTCACATGACAGCTGCTCTACATGTCTTAAGATACCTAAAGGGGACTGTTGACCTTGGCTTGTTCTACTCCTCAGTTTCTGATTTTTCTTTGACTGCTTACTCTGATAGTGACAGGACTGCCTGTGCAGATACACGAAAATCCGTGACTGGTTTCTGTATTTTCTTGGGTGATAGTTTAATTGGGTTGAAGTCTAAGAAACAACCTATTGTTTCTTTGTCTTCTGCTGAGGCAGAGTATCGTGCATTGATCAAAGTGGTTGCTGAATTAACATGGTTAACTCGCTTACTTACTGATATTTGTGTGCCTGCTTCTCTTCCTGTTTTTGTGTTTTGTGACAGCAAGGCAGCCATCCATATCGCCAAGAATCCAGTTTTTCATGAGCATACTAAGCACATAGAGGTGGATTTCCATTTCATTTGGATAAAGCTCTTAGAGGGGTTGATTTCTCTATCCCACATTTCCACTGCCAAGCAGCCTGCTGATATTCTGACTAAGCCTTAGCCTGGTCCTCCTCACCAGCAACACTTAGCCAAGTTGAAGGTGTTCACCCCCTTCAACTTGGGGGGGGGGGGGGGGGTTNNTGAGATGAAGGACTACTTAGCGTCTAGGCCCAAACACAAAACATAACTTGGGCTTCCTTTATTTAATGTACAGATTAGTTGGCTAAAGGATCCGGGTTAGGCCCATTGTATATATATATATAGATATTGTAACAGAATTTCTAGACTATTCGATTCATTTTACAGAGTAGAAATGAAAGTCGGTTCTCTCACTTCTCTCTCTATCTTTTTCTTCTCAAACCCTATCCTCATCTCTATGATTTTGATATTGTTGTATGTTTTTAATTGTTGGATACAACGCTTCACAAACATTATCATGGTAGATCATCTTAGATGATCAATGATTTTCAAAGGAACGTAAGTTATATCTAGTAATAATATAATTTTTCAATCACTATTAATGTATGCGAAATAATGTATAACACAAAATTTACCTTATGTAACCTGGTTGAGTAGATATTTTTCTCCATTAATACATAGACTTAAACTTAAAAATTATCGTTTCATCCCACCAGAAGATCAAAAATACAATGATTAATTTGGCTTCATTTCATAATCTAATTTAATGCACCTGATTAAGACGACGGTTTCAAAAAGAGGAAGCTGAACGATCGTAGTCAAAATGTCAATATTACCTGTTTGGGGAATTCTTGAACGAGGAACAAATATATTAGAAAAATAACATTTGGGATTAATCAGTTTAAGAATTTCCAGAAGGGGAATACTTTAAATTTCAGGTCCTAAACACGGCATGAGTTCCTGTCCTGAAAATTTTACAAACTTTTGCGATAAAACAGGAAATATATAATTACTATAATTAAAAGTTTTATATTGTTAAAACGTTTTATATTTTTGAGTCAAAGTTCTTTCGGCGCACTTTAATAACGTACGTCATCCATGGGGAGGAGATCTAAGACTTCGATCCCTGTAGCAGATCTGACGCAGAAAATGACGGGAAGGATTCCTAATCCATCTTTCAATGTCAACATATCGAATTCGGGGGGGGGGGGGGGGGGGATCAAGGACGATCTCAGAAATTATCGGTGCTGGGCCTAAGGCACGAGCGGAGGAAATTCGAAGCCAATTAATGGGGGAATCGAGCTCAACTATAAGGAGTGAGGTACGTACGATGAATGAACAACAACTTGAATGGGAGAAATCTATACAGAAATATGGAACTAGCAGGAATATGTCATGGGCAGATGAAGCAGAGATGCAGGAGAAGAACCAAAAACAATTGCCGGCATCAGTTTGGGATAATTTTGACATAGCAAAAATCACTAATGCTGGGTTTAAACTTGAGTATGTGAGTCCAGAAACAGAAGGAGACAAGCAGATTGGGGAGATTGCTGCAGAGGACATAGAGTCAGAGATCGAATACTGGAAGAATGCTGTTGTATGCTATGTATTAGGGGCATATCCACCATTTAGTGTCCTGAATAGCTTCTTACAGCGGATTTGGGGAAAGCATGGAATGGACAAGATAGCTATGCTGAAGAATGGAATAGTAATGGTTCGATTTGATACTGAAGCGGGGAAGAATGAAGTAATACAGGAGGGGATTTTCCATTTTGACAATAAACCTCTAATTGTGAAAGCTTGGAATGTGGATATGGATTTCTCAAAGGATGAATTGTGTACTGCTCCAATATGGGTTAGATTGCCTGGATTGGAATTTAAATACTGGAGCGCGAAGGGGTTGAGCAAGATTGGAAGATTAATAGGGAAACCATTGATGGTGGATAAGAATACTGAAAAGAAAGTGGGATTAAATTTTGCAAGACTGCTAGTAGAGGTTAAAATTGGAGAGCAATTTTCCGAAGCAGTGTATTTCAAAAATGAAAAAGGTATAATAGTAGAGCAGAGGGTGACATATGATTGGAAACCTTCTGTATGTGAAGAATGTAAAAAATATGGGCATACTGGGGAGAATTGTAGGAGGAACAAGGAGAAAGAAGTGAAACAAGTAAGGGGGAAAATTGAAACTGTAAGTAAGGATGAGGGGAGTCCAAGCAAAAGGAACCTTGTGGCACAGAAAGAGGCTACAAAGCAAATAGAAGGGAGGAAGCAGAATGAGAAGGGTAAAGAGGTAGACAATAAAAGAAGAGAGGTGGGAATTAGGCAGAAACAAGGTGAGGGTTGGAATCAACCACAAAAACATGCTAGTGTCCCTATTGTTATCAAGGATGTGATAACAGTAGCAAACACTTTCAAAGCATTAGAAGGAGTAGAAAAAGGAAGTGGAGGTCAAGAGAATGTGGGGAGCCAATCATCTCTCAATATGAGGGATGGTTAATATCCTAAGCTGGAATGTGAGGGGCCTTAATGGCCCTATAAAACAGAGGGAAGTAAAGGCCCTCTGTAATAAGCTGAAGGTGGGGCTAGTAGGAATGATAGAAACTAGAATAAAGAATAATAAGGTTGAAGGAATAGTTAGTAAAATGTTTGGGGGTTGGGAGCATTTTTCTAATCACAATGCTCACTATAATGGGAGAATTCTTATAGTATGGAGACCTGAATACTACAAGATTAGGGTAGTATATGAAAGTGCACAGGNTATGCAAAAAATTACCTCAGTTGTATCTTAGCATAAATATAAAATTCTAATAAATGAATTACCAAAATAATAATTTTGGATATAATTATTGGCTTTTTATGGATGAAAAGGGAAATAAATTAGTTTAAAAACCCTAAAAAATTATGGGAAGAATAGTAAAATGCTGGGACATACTTATATATGCATATATATGCTATTTTAAAGATATTTTGTATATAAGAATATACAGAGAAAAATTGGGTATCAACACCCTCTAAATTATAAACATTTATATTCTTCTTATTTTATTATTTAAACTTTTTAGTATTATGAATTTTTCCCTTTTTAATTTACATTATGAACTTACCAATAGAATAAATAAATATTATTTATAAATTAAAAAAAGGTATTTAAGCATATATAATGCTGGAATAACAAAATAATGAGCATAGTAAAAAAAATTAACTAGAATAATTTGTTAGTAATAATAATTTTAGTATTAACAACAAAATTCAAAAATTTATTTACACAATTCAGAATGAAAGAAAATAATGGTTGTAAAATATATATATTCCATGCACATAATATAAAAATAATTATTAAAATAAAGGTATTTTTATACAAAAAAAAAAATATAAAGGTATATTTTTTATAAGGGCATCCCACAGACATTAGGGCATGAGTCAAAGTTCTCTCGGCGCACTTTAATAACGTACGTCATCCATGGGGAGGAGATCTAAGACTTCGATCCCTGTAGCAGATCTGACGCAGAAAATGACGGGAAGGATTCCTAATCCATCTTTCAATGTCAACATATCGTATTCGGGGGGGGGGGGGGGGGGGGGAATCAAGGACGATCTTAGAAATTATCGGTGCTGGGCCTAGGGCACGAGCGGAGGAAATTCGAAGCCAATTAATGGGGGAATCGAGCTCAACTATAAGGAGTGAGGTACGTACGATGAATGAACAACAACTTGAATGGGAGAAATCTATACAGAAATCTGGAACTAGCAGGAATATGTCATGGGCAGATGAAGCAGAGATACAGGAGAAGAACCAAAAACAATTGTCGGCATCAGTTTGGGATAATTTTAACATAGCACAAATCACTAATGCTGGGTTTAAACTTGAGTATGTGAGTCTAGAAACAGAAGGAGACAAGCAGATTGGGGAGATTGCTGCAGAGGACATAGAGTCAGAGATCGAATACTGGAAGAATGTTGTTGTATGCTATGTATTAGGGGCATATCCACCATTTAGTGTCCTGAATAGCTTCTTACAGCGGATTTGGGGAAAGCATGGAATCGACAAGATAGCTATGCTGAAGAATGGAATAGTGATGGTTCGATTTGATACTGAAGCGGGGAAGAATGAAGTAATACAGGAGGGGATTTTCCATTTTGACAATAAACCTCTAATTGTGAAAGCTTGGAATGTGGATATGGATTTCTCAAAGGATGAATTGTGTACTGTTCCAATATGGGTTAGACTGCCTGGATTGGAATTTAAATACTGGAGCGCGAAGGGGTTGAGCAAGATTGGAAGTTTAATAGGGAAACCATTGATGGTGGATAAGAATACAGAAAAGAAAGTGGGATTAAATTTTGCAAGACTGCTAGTAGAGGTTAAAATTGGAGAGCAATTTCTGCAAGCAGTGTATTTCAAAAATGAAAAAGGTATAATAGTAGAGTAGAGGGTGACATATGATTGGAAACCTTTTGTATGTGAAGAATGTAAAAAATATAGGCATACTGGGGAGAATTGTAGGAGGAACATGTGACGACCCAAAGGGTCATCACCTGTTTCCTCATTCATTCTGTGCTTCCGAGGCCTTGAAAACCTCATTTTTTCTTGCCTCGATTTGCGTGCGCAGTCCGGGCGCGTAGCCGGAAAGCTTTTATGTTGAAATATGTGAATTCTGGGAAAAATTTGAAGAATTTTGATATTAATATGTTTAAGGTTGACTTCGGTCAACATTTTTGGTAAACGGACCCGGACTCGAGATTGGACGATCCCGGAAGGTCCGTAGAAAAATATGGGACTCGGGCATGTGCCCGGAGTCGAATTCCGAGGTCTAGAGCCCGAGAAATGAATTTTTCTGTGAAATTATTTTTCTGAAATTATTAAGGAAAATGGAAATGAAAATTGATTAAAAGACTGTGGTATCGGGATCGTATTTTGGTTCCGACGCCCGGTACAAGTCTTAAATATGTGTTAAGCGCTTTCTGTAAAGTTTGGTCGAAATCGGACGTCGTTTGACGTGTTTCAGACCTAAATATCTATAGTTTGAAGTTTATGAAGTTTGAAAGGAAAATGATGATTTTGAAACTTGATCCAATGATTTTGAGGTTATTTTGGCGATTTGATCGCTCGAGTAAATTCGTAAGATGTTATTGAGTTAGGGT